ATCAGGACGGCCACGTCACGTTCTTTTTTATGTCCGAGACTACTCTAAGAAACAATTCAACCCTATAGAATCAACATCTAAATTGGTCGGTCCTGGTACAAAAACAAGTCCCTATAGAATCACCAAAAACAAAAATCAGTTAGAGCGTTTTGATTCCAACTAGTGAGTCTGGAAACAACAGTCTTCAGACTCTGGCATGGCAAGAAAGTTTTATATAATTTCTTTATGTAAACGACTTCATTTGTTCACTTTTCCAGCTAGATCAAGACCAGGTGTGCCCTTTGCTTGTCTTGTGCACACAGGTGCTTCTGGTACTTTCGTGTCCAAAGTGAATACTCTCCACTATAGAATGCAAAACCTCACCATCAACTAGTCCTGAAAAGCATGAATCCCTATAAAATCAATTTATGTAATACAGTATAATTTGTTTGCATGTGTCGCTAATGTTCTTGATACCAGGGTCGGTGCTTCACAACGCTATAGAATCAACATCTGAATTGATTGGTCCTGGTACAAAATCGAAGCCCTATAGCGCATGGATAAAACCAGAAATGAATAGCTGTTTAAAAGGTCTGCAGTATCCAAGTACAACCAAGATACTCTGCCTTGAAATACTTATAGGCGAAGGTCTTGATGTGCTTCCATGGAGTCCCCTCTGTCCCCTTGGATGTGATGCGGCACAAGTCCTTCTCGGAGAACAACGGGTTGGATTTGAAGGCCTTAGCCTCAGCAATCTTGAGCTTCAGCAACTCCTTCTGGATCAGGTCATCACTGGCTGAGTTCTTCATCAAATTCTCGGCCGTAAAATCAATCTCAGGCTTCTCTGCTGGAGCGGGCTTCAATTTGATAGCCTTTTTCTTTATCTTTGCAAGCAAATGCTTTCTCTTCTTCTTGCCGGATTTGGACTTCTTGGATTTGCCCTTGGCTTCTTTCTCTTCTGTCTCGGTCTTGTCTGTCTTTTCGACCAAGGCGCTCTCTGGATTCTTCTTTGCGTTGGTATCATCTGTTGAGGCTCCTCCCTTGCCTTGTCCACCTTTGCTTGTGTCTTTGGCTTTTCGCTTCCTCCCTTGCCGTGGAAGAACAACATTCATGCGGAGATCGAGCTCCTCCTGAGGCCATTGAGAAGCCAAATCATCCATGCTCTCGATCAACTCCACTGCCTTGGAGGAAAATGCCACAACCAAGCTCTCATCGGAATCCTGAACCGTCTCAAAATCCAGCAACGCCATCGTGGCCTCTGGACGAAGAACCAAGGTTGCTGACTTGCCGCAGCATGTCCAGCGGTTGGACTGATCATCATCGGTGGTCTTTGATAGCTCCACAGCTTTGTAGGCAAGTACGTGTGGAAGGCCAAGAGCTGAGGTGCACAATTTTGGTTTCCTTGCGGATCTCCATATTGAAGTCACCAAGCAGACTTTGGGTTCTCGGCAATTCCCGTGGCGAGTTCGTTTCGGCACAATCGCAATGACAATGTTCCCATTCCTTGACTTCGAAGCAGAATGAAAACATGTATAAAATAGATTAACATATATTAACATATCTGAAACTAGTATAAAATAGTATTAATTATATGATATTATATGCATGTATAATCATGTATACACCAGTATTGTCAAAAAAAAAGCACCCGCCTATAAAATCAAGAACTCTTTGCTACTTCAATGAAACGTCTATAGAATCAAAAACATGAGAAAGTCTCTGTGAAGGTCAAAGGCAAGCGACTCCAGTTTCTCTGGGACATCCTCCTTGGAACTTGCCAGCGCAGTGCGAGCTGCTAGCTTCCACTTCTCCAAGCGACTTGCCCTCTGGCGAAACTCTGTGCTGTTCTGCTCCTGGTTGATCTCGCGAAGAATGCGTTCATTGTACCTCAAACATTCAACAAAGAACTGCAGGTGTACGCCGTGCGACATATATAACATATTATAGCATTTAGGTGCCTCATGTTTCATCTAGAATCGAATAGAATATTTAAAGAAAAAAAGTAGTATAAAATGATAAAAATCACCTTCAGTTTAGAAAAATAGCTCTAAAGAGTTTCAGAAATCATACCAGCGACTGGTACCAGGAGAGTCCAGATGATGCCCTTCTGCAAGACCTTGGGTTATTTACCCACAGCCTGTCGCCTCCACCACACCAGTACCGCTGGTACATCAGCAGCCTCCAAAGTCGATCCCAAATGTTGGACGCCTTGAGAGCATCGGGGTCTTGGAAGACTGCATCACGCAAGGTCTTGGGCACCGAAGTTGGATCGAAGTCAGGGCTCTCAGTGCCCTTTGCAAAAGGCTTCATTGGGCTTGTGGGTTCATGAGCCACTAGGTTCAACAGCTGCTCCTTGTCTGGCACATTCCGGAGATCCAAGTCGATCATTGTTGATCTATGACGTTCGCCATTGTCTTCATCTGGAGCTCCAAGTTCCCCCATTGACTCTTCAATCTCACGGAGGACGCGCTGGCAATCATCTAGCTTTTCCAGCTCTGCTTCAGGGTCCTCCTCCTCCTCCTCCTCCAAATCCACCTCATCAGGTGACACGGCTGTATAAGGGTCATTGAGGCGCCCAGATTCACACCATTCATTGTACATGTCTCTGAGGGAAGCAACTGTTACTGCACTGGTGTGGGCAACAAGGGCTAAAGCCGCTTCCATAGCCCTCTCGCTGCAGGCTTTGAACTCCTCGTCGCTCAAAGGCAGCTGCTTCTGCTCTGGAGGTGGGGCTTTGTCGTCTTCACGAACCCTGGCAGCCTTGAAAGTCCTCAGCGTTTCCCGTGCGGCCGCCTGCCAGTATCCTCGAGAGGACAAACTTGCCGAGGCAGATTGGATTCGTAGCCTGCCAAACCACTGTTCGATGGCCAGTTCAGTCATCCTAGCATTTCCGCGGGTGTATGGATTTCCGCTTTCATTCTTTGACAATGCCACCATGATTGTGCTCATGGCAGTCAATTGCAAATTCTCTTGCGTTTGTGGGAGATGAACTGAGAACCACGTGGAAATCCATTCCGGGAAGTTGAGATCTCCGCAATGACCTTGTACAGGTCCAAGACCAGAAATCCTTCCATTGATGACTGAACTCGCTGGCTGATGGTCATGCCATGATGCATAGTCGGAGCCTTAGGAACCCCAAGCACAAAGTTCATATTTGGTGAACTTTATTCACTATAGAATCAATTATACTTACAAAGTGAAAGTACAAACACTATAATATCATAACATTGTATTTAACAATTGTTGAACATATATTTAAAACATGTTAAAACATTTTAAAACAATACTATCAAATAAAATCGATCCACGTTAAGTGATGCTCAGGTGCAGTGGACAAGGTTCCGCATACGTTCAGCAACACAAAGCCCCGTAGAGGCCAAGGAACTCGTGCTCGCTGGTCCGCAACATCCTGAACCGTTGATGAAATCAATTTTATAGAGACAGGATGATACAGGTTTGTTTGAACATTGGTTGTTTATATATTTTATAGAGGAAAGTAGAAACCATGAAAATGCTATAAAATGCCAAAAAACAATGTCTGGCACGACCAGGTAAGGGTTCCACATCACTGTGTTGAGAAGGTCGGACATCGGTTCTGCTCTGCCGTAGGCACTTGAGGGCATACCATAGCTCAGGCATTTGGTGTGATCGACAAAAAATTGTCCCATCAGCAGGTTTCGAATCGGAGTGCACATTTGTCCCGCCAAATTTTTTGAGGAATGACCTCCGGATTGCAGGATCTTCTTACTATAAAATCAACAAAACATATGAATGACATATTTGACCACTATAAAATTATAAATCAACAACTATAATATTGTATACTATACAATGTTTATATATTTTTATAGGATTTTATAGGAAATTAAAGGAATCTGTCGCTATATCTGACATTATCTGACCATTTACTTCATTTTTCTCCCGGTGAATGTCATGTCACGTAGCTATAGAATGAACAACTCACAATAAATATAAAAACAAACAATAAAATATCATTAAGCAAAACTGACAAAGCACACGGACCAGGTAGTGGCCACACAGCTGAGCCTTCATGAAGGCAAATCTGCGCCGGTAGTCGCGGTAGACTGTGTGGTGGCAAAGCTC